AATAATTAACTTACTGTTGTGTAGTTTATGTAGCCAGTTGTTTTTCCTATGAAAAATCATCTATGTCTGCTTCTGTACTTTTTTTTTAAATAATTAACTTACTGTTGTGTAGTTTATGTAGCCAGTTGTTTTTCCTATGAAAAATCATCTATGTCTGCTTCTGTGCTTTTTTTTTGTTTTGTTTTGCTTCTATCCTCCAGGAAAATGTATTTGGGCTACAGTGCAGTGAGTGTAAACCGGGAACTTTTGCTCTGTCAGCTAGCAATGCCCTGGGATGTACATCGTGCTTCTGTTTTGGGATGTCCACGTTTTGTTCAGAAGTAGAAGACCATGTGAGAATCCCTGTAAGTAATGTGATGTAAATATGCATGGGCAATTTGGTGTTCCTCTCATGGTGTTACACTGGTGCGCACAGGGTCGCATGTATTTTATGAGTCAGGCTCAATGTGGTCAGCTGACCTTAAATGGCAGTGACTTAGGGCAGAAGAGAAAAAGAAAGCAATACTTAAATGATAATAGTCCTGTTCCTGATTGGATTGTGTTTCAATCCATGCTTATTTTTTAATATGATTATCAATCAGAGGTGTTTCAACGTTTCTTGGCTTGGGCACCTATTACTCTAAGGGGCTACTGACTATCTCAAAGAAGCTAAAAGTGTTTCATACATTGCGCTGGGGCAGAACAGTTGTGTAGGATGAATCTGTTGCTCTTTGTGTCATAGATAACCTTGACTCCAGATCAGTCCATTCTGCATGTAGTATCTCAGAGTAACCTGACGGGAACAGTGGAAGGTGTATTTTCCCAATTACCTGACGTTTTATTGGATGCTGATGTTGTCAGAAAATATTTAAATACAGAAACATTTTATTGGAGGCTACCAGAACAGTTTCAGGGAGACCAGGTAAGATCATGAAATAACTGCAATGGTTTTTAGATGATTACTTTATGGTATAATAGTAAGTTCATCTAGGTAATGTTTTCTGTGTTAGTTCTATTATTTTTGACATTATGAACTTTCAGTGATTGAATTTATAGTAGTGTATATAGTAGTATAGTAGTGTTTACATTTCCCTTTCCTAATGAGTTTTTTCCCCTGTAAATGGATAACACCCATGTTTAATTACACTGTTACTCTTCAAAGATTGCATAGGGGCCAAAAAAGAGTGTATTTAATTTTACTTTATAACCCTGAAAGAGCTTTCAACCTTGACAGTGTATTCAGGATATAGATCGTGGAATCTACTGCTCAGAAATTAAATGCAAATTGAGGGTACACCTTGAAAGGGCCTAAAAGGAAAACTTGTGTCTGCATTTTAGAAATACACATTTAACCTTGATGCAAAAACTGCTGAGTTTGAGCCAATTTTCATGTTTTATTGCCAATTTTTCAAAGAACTGGCACTGTTCTGATGAGGTGAAAATATTTCTAGCTAGCAGCTATAACCTTGGCATAAATAAAAATAACATTTTTTTATCCAAACAGCTCATGGCCTATGGAGGGAAGCTGAGATACACTGTTGCTTTTTATGCCCTGGATGGCTTTGGAGCCTCGAATTTTGAGCCACAAATTCTAATCAAAGGGGGTCACACCAGTAAATTGGTCATCTATGTAGACATCCCATCTCCAGAAAACGGAGTAAGAAGCAATAAGGAAGTAGAAATGAAGGAGGTAAGCTAAAACATTGTGTGGAAAGGGGGAATATTTGTTTTTTCTGTGACAGAAAAAAAAGGGGTCTAAGAAAATATTTTGAAAAATACATACCTGACTTCAAACAGACTGAGTACATACACTGAGTACTTAACCTGCATGTTATGCACTCAGCTCAGGCATCATCGTCCTGGTCCTGAATTGTGGCCTGGCAGGAGCAGTAAGCTGCAGTAGTGCCACAGGATAATTTCAGAGCGCATTTGGTCCTTAGGACCTTGGGAGGTGAGGTCTAGGATAAAGAGCATCAGTCTTCTCCTGATGGGAGGCAGGGTATGGGTATTTCTAACTGCTCATTATTTCTAACTGCACATGAGACGAGTGTTATGGAGCCCTAGTCCCCTGGGCCTTTGGCTTCCCCAGATCTAGACAGAAAAAAAATATATGCCTTGCATGCCTGGATTACTTTTCTGTAGAAACTGGGTATGAAGTTGGGGGAAAAGGAGGAGGAGGAGAAACGATACAAAACTGTCTTGCATCAACATGCAGCAAGATTGGGGATGAGATCTTGGAAGCTTTTCTGTAGCCTAGAGTTTAGACATAGTAACTGAGTTTCTGAAAGTGTAAGGGTGAAGAGCGTTTTACCTTTAAATAAATGCATGAGTTTAAACACTTGTGATTTAATTCCTTGAGTTTCTGAAAGTGTAAGGGTGAAGAAGTGTAAGTGTAAGTAAGTGTAAGTGTAAGTAAGAAAGTGTAAGGGTGAAATTTACCTTTAAATAAATACATGGGTTTAAGCACCTGTGATTTAATTCCCTTAGGATTCCTGGAAATATTTTAACTCTGTGTCTGACCAGCCTGTCTCACGTTTTGACTTCATGTCTGTACTAAGCAATATTGAATATATCCTTATCAAGGCAGCCTATGGCCAAGGATTACAGCAAAGCAGGTAAAACAATCATTCAGTGAATTTACTTATTGATTGCATTTACTGTAATTTAACCTAGAATTAATCTCAACTGATCTATACAATAAATAGTTAACTCAAATAGACAAACTTCCAAATTCCTGTTTATGACCTTTGTCCTTTTTCCTATGAAAAGAAAACATTTATTACCTTTAATGGAAGCAGAATCCCCATTTAATTATTTCTGTAAAACACTAAATATCTCTGCTACTTACTTTGCTATAAAAGCCCATAAAAAAGCATAAAGATTTAGACAGTATTTTTCAGGGTGAGTAATGTATTTATAAGTTCTGTAAATGACCTTTTTCCCATTCTATTTTCATGAATATTTGTTTTTTGTTTTGTTTTGTTTTTCATTTTCCAGTGGAAGAACTAAAATAATTTTCCAAGGTCATAAGTTCATACAAATCTAGTGCTATTTTATCCTGTTTCTGTCCCCCGGGCAAAATATTCCCACCTCAGTATTTTACCACCATTTTAAAAAGAACTAGATGACTCAAAAACTAGATTATTGAATGGAAGGGAATGGGATCTAATCATTGTTGAAAAACAATAAGACAAACAAAGATGCATTCAACCGAAATCCAAATTCATACATCTTTATAGCCGTGAAGGAGTGTAGTTCCACCTCCAAAATTTTTCCCATCTTATTTTCATGGATATTTATTCACAGGACATCAACTATCTTTTTAATAACTTTGTCCAAAAATGACTGGACTGAACTACTGAATTTCTGTCTACTGTTTCTGGGACAGAATTTGTTCTTGCATGGAGATTTGCCAAGGCTTTTCAGACCAATGGGAACCAGCCTATATTGCCTTGAAATAGTTTGGATTTGGTTCCTGTAGGCCTTAATAGATCCCATATATAAATATAAAATCTTCAGATTTCAGAACTGAGATGTTTCTTTCTGGAAAAGAAGACCCTGTGAGAAAATATATGGTAGCCTTATAGCCCTATGTAGGGTAATGTAATATGTTTGGATCTCAGGTTTGTTGCTAGGATTGCTCTAGATGTTAATGCTTTGTTTCTCATCCACGTATCTCTTGCAGAATTGCAAACATTTCAATGGAAATTGCAGTGAAGTTTGAAGAAATGCATGGAGGCAGAGACAGAGCTCATCTTATAGAGCAATGTAGATGTCCTGTTGGTTATGCTGGGTTCTCCTGTCAGGTACAAAATCCTTGAACCTATTTTATGTGTATAATACTGAGATAATAATAGAGTTACTTAGAGGTTACTTGGGTTTTAGAAATATTTTCAATGTTGATAATCATTTTTTTTAAAAAAATGTATTTTACTCCTCCTCTATATAGAGCTGTGCTCCGGGATACTACAGGGGGAAACATAAGGAGGTCAATGGAAAGGATCCTCACGCTCTGATAGCGCCCTGTGTGCCATGTCAGTGCAACAACCACAGTGAAACCTGTGATCTGGAGACTGGAAAGTGCTTGGTAGGTGCATTTTATATATTGTGCTGGTTTTGCCTGAGTGTACGCTCTCAAAAACCTATTCAGGGTATTTTGGGAAGCAGTATACGGCTGTGCTATTTGAATAAAACATTATCCCCTCACCCATCCTCAAAAAAAAAAATATCTTGGTAGTGTTTCCCTTAGCAAAATTATCAAGTTTTTTTTTGGGGGGGAGAGGGCATAACCTTTTCATAAATGTTATTTATTTTATTTTATTTTTTCTTTAAAAATAGCTTTTGTTTATCAGTTCAGTCTTACCTGTTTTATTCTGAGACTTTTGTTCTGGTTGAGCTCTGCTTAGTCACATGAAAGAGGAGCAGTAAAGGGAGCGATGTGCTGTATCACACCACAGAGCCTAATTTGAAGTCAAATTCTTTGTCTCTCAGGAGTAAAATATCCTCTGGGTTGCTGTAAGTGTGATTTTTTTTTTAACATGCAGAGATTTAAAGTTTCCTCACTCCCTTAGGCTTTTGTGAATCATTCTTTCACTGCCAGGTTTGGCCTAAGTGATGGATTTGATACCATATTTTGAAGTTTGAACTTCATGAATGAGAATAGTGAGGCCCAAATGCATAAATTTTTCACCCTAGTGAATACTGGTCATTCTTCTCAGTATCATGTTGCAGGGGTCACAAGTCATCTACATGTTAAGATTACTACTTAGAGACTTCCAGCCAAGTAATGATGGAAAAAGAGATGGTTTTCACCTCTGACTTTCCTGCTCCCATGCAATAGGAGCTATAGTTACTGTCCTCAGCTAACATCTAAAGTATGTGCAGTCACAAGAATATAAATCATAAAAAAGAGTATTTTTTGTTCTCTTAGGAGACTTAAATAAATTATTTAAATAAGATATGCTTATAATCCTGATTTAATGTTTTAATGTTAATAGCACGGCCTGTGGATCAGCACTGTCGACTGATTAGATAGCCTGTGTCTGTGGATCTTAACTATGGATGATCTTCATGGGTTATAACTCTCATGTGCATTTGCTGTAACCTTGCAACTTTGTATTTTTGGTCCAGGTATCCAGTTTAATTTCATGCTAAGAGTTGCTTTTTTGTGGGAGTGTTTTTTTTTTTTTCCTTTTTCTTTTTCTTTGTATGGTCATTTCCTGGTCTGATTTGGATGGAAGCAGAAATATGCAGACTTTCATGGAAGTTACGAACAGAAATTAGGTTAGCAGGTGTGAGGGGGCATTCACATAAGACATGAGATGTAAAATATGCCAGCATTCTTCTGATTTTGTATAAAAGGTTCCTTTGCCCAGCCAATGCTGACAAATGGTGACATTCGTGAGGGTTATTGAAGACTATGCCATTTACTGACTGGAGAGAAGATGAAGTTCCTCTCCTTATTTGTGGTTGCTTTAAACTGTCTGAATTCCTTTCTGTGCATCAGGACTGCAGAGATAACACAGTTGGGGATTACTGCAGTGCTTGTGCCCCGGGCTACTACGGAAAAGTAATTGGATCTGTCAACGACTGCTCTCTTTGTGCCTGTCCCAGAGCCAACCCCGTTAGGTAACCAAAACTTATTAAATCCTGTGCGCATTTTAGCATTATAATTCAAGATGCCTTGTGCTGTGTCCCCCACAGGGACAACAGGACATAGTTTTAATTGCATCTCCTTAGTTTCTTGATGTTTGGAAGCAACTTGTTTTAGTAAATGGAAGTTGCATTTTGAGTTGTTCTGGTTAGTGATTATATTGGGAGGCTCTACAAGAAAAATGATTAACTGATAGTGTCAAATCACTGTTAAAGAGTTGCTCAGCGGCATGGAGTGTTTTGTAAATAATGAAGTAAGTTCCTTTGACATTTTAATTTTAAATTTGGTTCCTTTTATTCTAACAACAATACTTACATTTTTACTAAAGTTCAGGCTGTTTTTTAGGTCATGCAAGAATTTTTCATCAGATCAGTCCTAGATATATAGAACAAGTACTCTTTTGTTTGATATTTTTACACCTGTTTGGTAGAGGAACAATTCATCTGTTTTGAAAATCGAAGTTCTGTGCAGGCCGTTTTCCCTTCTGAATTTTGAAAGACATATTTGGCATTTGCTTTTGGACACTTGAATAAGAGTATGAGCCTCCCAACCCTTATGTTCTCAGACAAGTCTCAGCTAGATAAATGCTATAGGCATATCATTCTAGTTTTCTTTACTCTAGTTTTCTCATCTATATGAGGGGGATGGGAGAATGGATCAGAATCAGTGCACTTATTTATTTGGAGTATTTTTGGCAGAGGATTCTGTTGCTACAAAAAAATCCATTACCACCTATATGGTTAGGGTGCTTACCAGTGGCCATGCAGAGGGCTAAACAGAGCTGGGAATTGCTCAGATGGACAGTGTGGGCTTCCAATTAAGCACATCCTCCAGGTGGTGATGATCCCCAAAACTGTCTTTCTGCAGCACCTCATGTCTCACAGCATCCTTGCTTGCCAACAAGAAGCCAGACAAATCGGCTGTTCTGAGGAGGGGGAAGTTTTAAATGATCTGTAAAAGATCTCTCTCAGTTTGGTTATGCAGCACTCATTTTTAATTGTCTTGTCTTTCAAGCTGTAGGCAATAAGCTGCTTTCCCAGGCTAAACTGTATTTGAGTAGCATTGAGAAATGCAAATTTTTGAAAAGCAAATAAATTCAAAGCACAAATTCTAGAGCGCTTTATCAGAGCTGAGGATGCTGCTGCTTACAAAATCATCCCTCCATGGACCTGTACTCCCGAAGCAGTTCTCTATATGTTTGTTGTTGTTGTTGTTGTTGTTCCATTTATGTGCTAGCCATTCTTTTTTAATCTTTCCTGCAGTTTTAGTCCCACTTGTGTCCTGAAGGATGTTCATGATTACCACTGTGACGCTTGTCAGCCAGGGTATGAAGGACAATACTGTGAAAGGTGAGTTGGATAAGCTGGCTCCATTTACCACCGACCACAAGCACAGTTCTGATTAATATGAGCCATGTTAGTACTTGGAATCGATTAGCTGATTTTCATAAATAAACGTACACACAAGCGCTGAATGACGTAGTGGTTTGTTAGTTACTGATAAGGAACCAGTAATTACGAATCCCTTAGAGATTCACAGAGATGAAGAACACCTTCCGGTTTGGGATAACCTGGTGACAGCCCGTGTCCCGTTCCTCCCCCCAGGTGCTCCCTGGGGTACTACGGCGATCCTCGGGTCGCTGGTGGCAGCTGCCAGCCGTGCCGGTGCCACCCCGGCGGGTCTGCTCATGGAGACTGTGACCGCGCCACGGGGCAGTGCGCCTGCAAGCCCGGCGTCACGGGGCGCCTCTGCGAGGAGTGCGAACCCAGGCATCTCCTGGTGGAAAACGAGTGCGTCTGTAAGTGTCTTTAAATGCGTTTCTTTCCCAGTGGGTTTTAGTTGGTTCCAGCAGGGGTTTACATGCACATGGCTATTCGCTGTGTGTGTTTTCTGACATGCAGCTTTACTCTTCCTGTGGTGCGTTTGTCAAGGAAAGGTATTTTAATACCTTTGGTGTTGCACTAGATGATATCTCAAGGTCCCCTCCAGCATCAGCCAGGCTGTGATTTTGTGAAGGAAGAGGAAATTACAGTCCCATCGGGCTTAATGCTGCCTTTTGCAGTGCTACAGTTAAGTTTCAGGATTAAATCACTTCAATACTTACGTATTTGCTGCTAGTAGCTTAATTTTATTTATTTGCAAATGTTAAGTTCATGTTATTTGCTCTTTGGCAGTGAGACTGCTGCAATGCCAGTTTTGGAGTCATTTCAGTTAGGTGGGCATACTTCACCAATAGAAACATTATATATTGGGATGGGGTGATAGAAAGATCAGTCAGGTATAGTAATCTGCTTTTACTATGAATTGAACTGAATGTTTGAACTCAAATTTTGCTTTATAAGTAATACAAGTTCCCAAAATAAAGGAAATTGCACCACTGTGGACCTAGTCTTATTGTCTTCGTAACCTTTTGGTGAACATATGTGGTGTCACCTTAGATTTACAGCAATATTGCCAAATAGACTCAATAAGCCTATAGTATAGCAAACAGCTTAATAGCCAGTAGGATATATAAGGCTCGATTGGGTGCCAAACCAGGGAGAGTATGTTTGCAATAGGCCTGTTTTGGGAATTGATAGGAGGGAGCAATACTGTAAATGTATATATTCAAAACTATTATGCTCAGTCTTAGCGTAGATATGAGGGCGCATTGTCTATAAATAAAAACAAATTTCAGTATTTAGTGGCTTTTGAAACTAATTTTATTTGCTCTTCTTAAAATTATTTTTTTAGCTTGTGATGACAACTGTACGGGCATTTTGTTAGACGATTTGGAAAATCTCGACAAAGCAATACTTTCCGTGAACCTCACTGGTGTTGTCCGTGCACCCTATGGGCTATTGTCAGAGTTGGAGAATGCCACAAAGTATCTGAAGGTAAAACAAGCACACTGGTGTTGGAAATATTTAGTCCTTTAAAGCAAAACTTGTAGACACTCATATGCCAGGAGCTTAGCAAAAGCCCTCCTGAAGTTCATGGCTTTAATGTGTGAATGTAGAAGTGATATCAGATGAAGAACATTATATTGGTATCAGAATAAGCCTTATGCCCTTTGGCTGTCTATATTACTTTCTTTTTATTTGTTACACTTTCATTTAAGTGAACATAGCAATATATTTTTCCATCTGCAATGAGATGCTACTATATGCTTCTGAGATGTGTTCTCACGTCAGCCCCTGGAAAGACAGCTAAGCTCACTGCAAACTAGGCACCTTACTCGCAGCAGCTCTGGGTCAATAATCCTGCAGTGAAGTAGGAGAACTGTTAGGGGAGAAAGATTATCTTCCCCTTGGCCCTTTTGCCAAAGAGGCATCTCCTGAGGCTTATCCCCACAGGGAGGAAAGGGTCCAGCAGGCTGCTTCTCTGTGACACCTGGCTTGCTTTCCTATGGCTGTGTGGCAGTGGCAGGTTGCTTCCTCTGTCCTCTGTCTTGGGGGACAAAAACTGAGAGGATTCTTCAGCATCAGAAGTCCTCAAGCTGCCTGTGGTTTGAGCCTTTCTTCTGGCCTCCTTTTATCCAATAAATAAAGTATCATGTTTTGTGGTCCCATCTAAAATATTAGAAGGCCACTTAATGTTGCTAAGTATTAAGTTCCTGTGTTCTCTGCAAAAAGGCAAAGAGAATCCTCCTCCCTACTTCTAGATCATTAAAATGAGCACATTTATTGCAAAGAGTCTCTTCAAGAATAGTTAAAGCAAGAGAAACTCTAAGATAGAAGGAAATTACATTCTTCTCTAATTTCTAAAATATACCAATAAAAGTCAGAATAATCCAAGCCTTTGTATGCAGCTGAATTATGCAAATCAAATAATTTGAATTAAAAACTTCTCTTATTTAAAATGTGAAGTAGACTGAATTCCAATTAATGTACATTCAGTATCTAGCAGCTACTTATTACTTTAATTATAAAACAAAGTCATATTTTATGCAAAAATTAAAGCAATTTAAGTTTCTTCTTCAGGGCATACATGTTCTTGTTCAAATCAAAGCCAGCTGTTCCCTCCTTTGGAAATGAGATATTTAAGGGTGCTAAAAATGCTACAAAATGTCTTCGTCTATTACTACTGTATTTACATATTAGAGTTATATATGGTTCTGTTGTGGACGGTCCTGTTTTTGTGAGACCACAGTGTTTTTAAACAAGTTAATCTTTAGAGTATTTTGGTAGTTGTCTCTTATTTTTCCTCTGTTTTGAAGCAGTTATTCCTCTCTTTCTAACTGCTCTATGATTTCCTTCCTTTTTGGCCTGTACAGGAGTAACTGTAATAACAGGCATCTATTATGCAATATCTGTACACAATTTTCTGAAAGCCAGAAAATCCTCAGGTTTATTTATCTGGATTGCAGATCTTACTGAAGTCCTGTCCACTTCACTGTGAGTGACATGCCTCGTGCTGGCTGCCCAGGGACTTAATGTATTCCTTTTTTTTTCATACATTGGGTGTGGGCCTTCCAAAAATGAGAAAGTCATCAAATCAGACCATGTACTTGGCTTTGTTTCTCTGTCTCATGTTAAAATGCCTTCTGCCCTGCCACAATGCTCAAACAATCTGAGGACCTCAGTAATTCTGTTTTTTTTTATTATTATTATTAAGTTAAAGCCTCCTGCTTTTCTTTAGCTGACGTACATGGCCATATTTGCTGTCCTATTTTGGCTTTTCCCATTGTGTTCTTAAAAACACCTTGCCATGCTTTAGCCCAAATGGCCCAGGAGCTTCAGCTTCTACCTCCCTTCTGCTTGTTTTTTCTTCCTACTGAGGAAAAGATTCTGAAAGACTCAGTAGACACAAGGCTGAGTTGGTTCTTTAAAAAGTTTGACAAAATAATATTTGTATTTAAAACATCTGACTCTGAAAAATCTGAAAACTAAATGTATCCTTTTCCCAGACTTGTCCTCTCTGTAAGAGACGCCTTGTATTTCTTGGCTTTAAACTTTAGAGAAGTGATACTCCATTGCTAGCCTTGATTGTCCCAAATATCATACACTGTGTACAAATATCATATGCTTTTTGTGGCCTATTTCCTGCTGTAACAGAGCAGCCTTGAGGGCCGATGCGACTTACTGACTTTTCACTGTTGAGATGTTCCCCAGAGCTGGGCTGCTTGGGATCCCCATCATGTCTGGAGCATCCACATCCCAAACTCAAGTGGCATATGCTGGGTAGAAAAGACATAGAAAAGCACATGTCTGGACAAACCAGCTACCCTAACAGTAATTTCTGGGGGACTGTAAGGAAAGCATTTAATCAAATGGGCCTTTGAGTTCCTCTGAGTTAATTATTTTGGCAGCAGAGCCCTTGGTGAAGGAAAGCAGGACCACATGATGCTTCCTGATTTCATTAATCCAGAGGGTAATGGATCCAGAGATTTACTTTTGATATATACATATATATATATAAAAGCTATACCTTGTTGTGTGTTGTATGTAATCACTTTGCATCATCTCATATGCCTTGCAAATCAGTCATTTAAAACAAACAGAGCCCTGACAGAGTCCTGGAACAGGCTACCCAGAGAGATTGTGGAGTCTCCTTCTCTGGAGATCTTCAAAACCCGCCTGGATGCCACCCTGTGCCATGTGCTCTAGGTGTCCCTGTGTGTGCCGGGTGGGGGGCGTTGGACTAGATGACCTCTAGAGGTCTCTTCCAACCTTGAGCATTCTGTGAGTCTGTGGATGCTATCAATGGTGTGCATAATTATTTTCTCTCCAGTAATTTTCTGGACAAAAAAAAAAAAAGAAAGTCCTTAAATTGTTGTGCTGCTTCTTACAGGCATCTGTAGTTCCTAGAGAAGATCCAACTTATTTACTAGCTACAGCAAAAGAAAATCTCTTGAGTTTATCAGGAAGCCTTGATCAACTGCATGAAGAGGTAAGTGCTTGCCTCTATTCTTGCTCTTTGTGGAGAAGTCTTTGGGGACTTCCTTAACATTGTGCAGAAATGAGAGAGCTTTGTTTGGAAATTATATCTACAGAGTTCACTAACATTCTGTTCATTCTGCAGCTTTTCAGGGGAAGGCACTTATCTGCTCTGTGGAATCCTTTGGTGAACTGTAGTGTTTTGTGATACTATACAGGAGGACTTTTTTGTTCTCTACCGGAGTTCAGAAAACCTTTGTATTGTGGTCACTTAAGGCCTTAAAATTGAAGAATTGAAGGAGATAGATACCTATTTTTCACTGATTCTAACCTGTGGAGATTCTTTAACATTATGCCATTGGCTGAATACTTGCCAAAAAGCCTTATGAACATGTAGTACTGTGCTTAAAATGCTTTCAGTGGAAAGAAATCCATTGCAAATGCACAGAAAAATAGGCAACATTTATATCCTTTATTGCACCTCAACACAAGAAAAAATGTAGATAAGAAAGTATGGATAGTACTTAGCCATTAGACCTGATTTGCTGGGGGTATATACTTAATTTAATTGGGTACTTCCACTAATAGTGTTGTCATTGCTAAAAATGGTGTATCCAGAAGAGTGATTTTCTTACATTTACATTAATCTGTGCTTAAGAATAATTAGTGCTTACTTTGTTAAAGGTATAGCTTTGATAATTGTGATTATTGATCATGAAGTTAGTGGATATAGCAAATTTTTACTGATATCAGAGAATGAAACTTTAAAAATAATTAAATTCTAGGTATCTCAAATACCTATAAACATCAGGGATTTATGAATCAGCTAATACTGCTTTATCAAAAAACATTGATTACTTACTTAAATTAGTCATCAGGTATTGAAAAATTAGTGGGAAATGTGTAGAGAAATATCATGAATCTGTTGGTGTGTTTTAGGAAAACTGTCAAAGATTATCTCTGATTTTATTCTAGTCGGCTAGAATTTTGAAAAAAGCTTGGCAGCTTAACACAGTGACTCAGGAAACCAGGAATAAAAGTCAAGAACTGACTGGATTTATTGACACTGTACATACAGCCATCAAAGGTATCTGGCTTTTAAGATATTTCCACTTCATTACAGAATTTAACTGCAGCTCTTCAAGAACTGTTTATAGCAAAAATTTGTGCAAGGGTTTCCCACATCCTCTTCTATTAATGGCATGGTCAAATTGTTTGCTCTTCTACTTAGAACTTGCTGAAGCAGCTCTGTCGCTCAATGAAACCCTGGGTCTGGGTCTCCCACTATCAAATGCTATGTCTCAGAGCCTGCAGGATGACATCTCTGCCATGCTGGATACACTGCGCAGGAAAGATTTTGTTCAACAGCAACATAATGCTACCAGCATCCTCAAGTAAGCATGGTCTACTGGAATCTTTATTTATCATGTTCAGTACTTCTTGGAGAGGTGTCTGAAGAATCATTGTGCCATGAAAATAGCTTGTGTTACAGATAAGTAGCCCAGTCAGAGCAATGGGAAGCCTGGAGCTGGAGTTAACATTATTTGGAGATCAGCTGGGCATCGTGCATGGCCTAGTGTATTCAGTATAGCCAGACATCTGTTTGTTTGCACACATTGCCTTAAATGGAAAGACCTACTGGTTTCAGTCTGATTCGGATCTGTCCCTAAGACCCGTCCCTTTGGGCAGAAAGGTTTGGTAGAGCTCAGGTGGTCATAAGCCAGGTCTGGTGAAGGACACTCACTGACGCTGAGGTATGGCCACTGTTATTTTTATCAGGTAGATTAGCAAATGAAACTAAGGCATTTGTTTCAGTCCCCTGAGCCACTGGGCAGGATTCTCACTCCTCTGTCTTGATTGGTCACTTTTTAAAGACTACTCTAAAGTGGCTTTTGTTTTCATTACTTATTACTACTTGCTGCTAGACTTGGCAATACAAAAAGTTGTGTATTTCAGTAAAACTTCTGGAAGTTGCAACTTCAGAAGTACTCAGTATAGCCTGAGTTCTGTTCCCCTCAAAATCCTTAAGAATCTTAAGATTAACTTGAGAATGGTGTTCTTCTGAAAATCTGACTTCTCCTTTTTAAGTGTTTTGTGTCAAGAGGGACAGAATGTTTATGTTCTGTAGCATATCTGATTTTATTCACCAGCATCCCCTGCTTGTCCTTGTACTGAGTATTAAATTGTACAGGACCTAAATGGATATAAAAATCAACTAGAAAGATACAATTCATTCTTGGACTTATTAGGAACTTCGAATAACCTTTTTTTGTACTTCTGAAAATGTCTCGATATGTACAGTATTGAATTATTATTATTGCACAGTAACAGAATGTTCTCTCTCAAAAGCAGCTCAAGCTGCTATATAAGTCATTTGTAAATTAACTTCAGTTGTAGGCTATCTGCTGAAATTTCTGAAAGTTCTCTGATAAGTGAACTTGAACAGATTGAAGAAGAGGGTTAATAGGATTTATGAGAGAATTTGCTCATCGAAATTTATCATGCAATGCAGCTGAAAATTCAAAACTCTTAAATAAGCAGCTTGACAGTTCATTTTTTCAGGGAGTAGTAGTGACCTCATTGTTCATAGTAGACAGACTTGGTGATGATATGCTATTAAGCAATATTTATAACTGAAATCTCACATTTGCTACATAAGGCAAAGATCACAAGACATTTGAAATAGAGGCTTTCTACTGTACACCAGAATGAAAGCCATTACTGTCTTGCAAAATGTTTTCAGTCTTGTGTCTTTTGTAAGTTTATGGCTTCTGAGTGGAAGGACTATGAACTATTAGTTTAAAGAAATACATGCAAATACACTTCTGCTATTCAATAAGAGAGATGGAGTGTGTTTTACTGCTTGTAATCAAGCTATACATGAGATTTCTTTTGCTTCAGCTAAAGATATATCTGATTTGAAACCAGTGTGCAGTTTATGTATAAGAGAAACCAAGGATTTACCTTTCAGGATCACTTGCAACTCAGTTGCTTGAAAATACAGAAATGTCTGCATGGAGGTGTAAATATTCCCAAATAGAGCAGCTGAAGCAGTTAACAACTGACTAATCTGATCATGTCATCCTGCATCGTGCCCATTACGGATTTCAAATCATGAATGTAGAGCTCACTCGTGTCAGTGGTCATCTTAATAGAATCATTTATTCTTATTAGATATTTAAACATTTCAAGACTCCTGAGTATCAGTGCTATTGTTATTTGTGGATTTCCGGTGTCACCTCTTCTGATGGCTTTGATTCCAATATTCAAAATATGCCAGAAATTCTGAAATTCAAAACATGAATCCCTGCAGTTGAGCCACAGGTTATTCCCAAAGGAATGCTTCACAGAGGTTTTCACGTGGGCAACGTCCTAAACAAGTCCTAGCAAATGTGCTTTGAATTAAGTCTTTTCCACCTCTAAGCAATAAAGTTTGTGAACTCTGCTCCCTCACCACATGCACAATTGTTTCTTTTGTATGGTAAGGCAAATAACTTGGTGTATGCATGCTATTAAGGGAAAAAAAGTGAGCTTTTATAAGAATATGCATTTAAATTAATATGGAATAGCCTCATTTCCCCTTAGGAAATCATGCCTGAATCTCTTTCCTTCTACATTTATTTATTTTCTGCTCTCTCTCTTTGTCAGAGCTGCAGAGAGTTTGTTAGTCCAGGTTCAGAAAGAGTATCTTAAACCCCAGCAGGAGCTTGCGGAGCTAGAAAAGGATGCGAGCCATCTCTTATCGAAGCACAACAGCAGACTGCAAGAAGCCCAGGACCTGGTGAAAGAGGCGCTTGCTAACATCAATGAGACCAACCGCTTGTTTCCTCTTATCTCTAGCAACATGGGCGACCTAAACGTAAGGCTGGAGATTTTGTGCTGTTATACGAGGAATATCAAATACAGAATTATTTTGAAAGATGTTTTTAGATGTAAATAAAGCTTACGATTTCTTAACGTGTTAATATATATGATGCCTTAAAAGCCCAAAGAAAAATGAAAACCTGTTTGAAATCCCCCCCCAAAAAAATAAGGTAATATGTGAAATCATCTGAATCATCTGTACTAGTTGATTTTACAATCTACCATTAAATAAATTGATTTATTCTGTAGGACAAAAAGCTCTATATAAAGGAAGGTAAAGAAGCCTGCACCATGCTCATTAAAGAAGGAAAAGTCCTAGTGAATGTTGCTGCTGCTCTTGCCAAAGATGTAAAGAACTCTACATCTGTAAGTTCCTACGTAGTTTCACAGCACCTTTGATGTTATCAAGTGAATTTTGTTATTTTTTAAAAAAAGGAAACTGTTTTGCTGTGTAGAACCTGGAGACACACCAGGATGGGCTAGTCCTCTGGAGTACCAAGCTGCGACAGCATGTCGACAAGCTGGTCATGCAGATGTCCACACGAGGAGTGCTGGACCTGGTGTATAGAGCCGAGGACCACGCTGCTCAGGTCCAAAGACTTGCCAATATACTAGAAAGGTGAGAAACTCAAGAAATATGAGCTCAGAGGAGACTCTACTACAGTGTCAAATTTTGTTTGTATAGGTAATAGCTTAATCCACTAAGGGAATGTGATCAATTTTTCTCCCCATTTTAGTTGCTTTTCACTTCTACTGCTGTGCATGGTGTTTTTACTACATGACAGAGAGAGAGCGTTGATTTGTCTTATGTTGCTAATGGATGACTTGTAGATTAACTGGTGAGCTATTAAATGCCCAGGGGCGTTTAAGCCATTATGGTATGACTTGAAAAGCTTGCAGTCTGTATATGAATACTTCTTTGACAATATATCTCTGAATATCATTATGAAGCTATTCTTGCTATGCCTCTATTACTGTTGCTTTCAAAGCTTCTTGCAGAGGTGAGTGGGCTGCAGTCTCAAGTGCATTCAAAGGCACCCTTAGAGCTTCCATGTTGGAAAGTCATTCCAGTTATCTCAGTGGAAAGGAATTCTCTGCCCCATTTTTTCCCTAGGATTCTTGCTGTTCTATCTTTTGAAATCAGCACATGTGTGTGTTAAAAATTAAATTATATCAGAATGGAAAAAGTACATATATTTTAAACTTAGGGATGGAAAATTCTGCATTGAATAATAGTCGAGCGACTCTGCGGACTTCAGTGCAGCCAGACAAATTCAATAAAGCAAAATTTGATAATGAATAGCTTTCAGATACTCATATTTTCCTGCTAAATTCTGTATTTTTCTACACTGCTGGAAAGCTCCAGCTAGGAGCCAGTGTCTTTTCCATTCTGTTTAGGTTATGGAATTTGCTTGTTCTTCCTATAGAGTGCTGCATGTGGCTAAAAAAAAATATTTCACATCTTCAGCCTAAAATCAGGAATTGAAAACCCTTTATGCAACCTAGGACAAAGTGTGTTCATTTTTCCTGTGTGCCTTATGTTTTCTATCAACACATGCTATAACTGAAGACATGGAGGTTGTTACTTGATTATAAATATATAAATGAAAATAAAAAATCACTTGCTAATTCTCTGCTTCAGTGACATCTCTAAAGTAAGAAATAGGACTTTGAATGCTACAGCTGCTGTATACACCCATTCTAGTGTTAAAAGTGTGATTGAAAGAACCGAGATTTTGGCAGATGATGCTTCCAGAGTTGTGAATGGCCCCTTGGACTTAGTGAGTATCTGCATTAATATCTCCTTTACATTTCTCATTTTGGAATATTTTTTTCTTACACTCTTTTTTCAGCTATCTCCTTATTCACTTTCCCCTTTTCTGTTTGTGTTTAGGTATTCCCAAGCAGAAATGTTTTGCTAATTAGAGGCACTTGATAACCAATGTAATTTTTTGTCTCATCTACCATTCCTCTGTCATACAAGGTTATCGGGTTGTTATTAAAACAGTAGATTACAAAGACCTGACCAATTATCCACTACTTGACTCTATTATTTTAATATTATTACATTTTCAAATGTAATCTCTTTCAATTTTTCATGATTATGAATCCCGGTTGCCTATTGAATGGACCGTGTTTTACACGTCTTGCACATTATGCCTGGAGAAAAAACGACATAATGCGTTTATTACATAATGGTCATTCGTGCAGACCTCATCGATTTGTAAGCTTGTACAGCGGTTGTGTAATTTATAGCACTGTTTGTGTTAAAAAAAAACATGAATAACAAATCTTTCCAAGTACTTGCCCATGTTTTCCAGATGGAGAAATGGGTTTAAAAAAAAAATTAAAGGCTGGAACTTTCAAGTATGTGTCTTTAAAATGCTCAGTTTCGAGAATTTTTTCATGAAATCAGACCTAGAATGATAGCTCTTACTGATATTTCGGAAGATGGCCCTGAATCATCAAGAGAGCTTGGGCTACCATTTGCTGGGTTTTGTTTCTTTTTCTTTTTCTTTTTTTTTTTTCCCTCCATATTGAAACACAAAAAGTTGCAGTGTCGTCCCCTGGAGAAACTGCTGCAATTCAGAAACTGCTGGATTTCTTTGTTTATTCCTAGTAAGGTAGTTAACAGGAAATCTCGTGCAGGAGAATGTTCAGTAACTTAAGAGAGATACCTGAAGATACTCAGATATTTTGGGTTGAATCTCTTTTTTCATATGTGACAACTGATGCTTGTTTTTTTTCAGAGGGAGGAATCTTATGGTCTTCTTGGAAGAGAAACTCTACTGCTTAGCTCTGAATTTCTGAATGAAGCTAAAAATCTGAAGAAAAAAAGTGATGGTCAGTTTTTAGAATTTACATTTCTGTTTCAAATTCTTTTTCTATTTCTTTTTCTTATTTTATGGTTAATTTTTCCATAATGAGCATAAGCTAAGGTAAAACACTTGCACGTGAATATGCATATATTTTCATACAAATAAGATTAGCATTGTACTGTGGAGTCATTTGTCAATGTACCTTTTGGTTAAGAACATAACTTTTCTCTGCAAACATTTTTAAAATTGTCCTTTGCTGTATCTCATTTCCCTCCATCCAACGCTTTTTTTAAATGGCTGTTTTTCCAAATGCAATGAAGTAAGTCATTAGTTATTGGGCTTGAAGAAGAAAATGATTTTCTGAAGAAATCCAATTACCTTAGGAAGAATACTGAGTTTTATCTTATAAATCATGGGTTGTGCATATAGGATGATATATTTTAAACCCGTTTTTTCTTGCTTATTCTACTCAGGTGCCATGTTACAAGCTGAACTTTTTATTTCTGTACAAAATGCTTTTCGCTTTAAAGCTCCTCTATAAATTATAACATCATTTTAGTTTCCTATTACTCAGAAGAGGTCTTGGAGTCTGTACCACAGAAGTTCAAAAACATTTTGAACACAGATTTTATTTAGGAGTCTGTCTGTAAGAGAGGTTTTTGAGAAAACTGGAAAGAATTAAAATGTTTCACAGAGGTGAAATTATAATTGCAAAACAGACTTTATAAAGCTGCTGTTACTAAAAACAAATAGGTATTTTGTAATTCAGCTGAACCAAATACATACCTTTTTGTTACTTCTATTTTACACATTTTTCTAGAGAGAGTGTTCTGCAAACAGCTTACAAATACAAGAAAGAAAAACACTGTCTCCTTCTCCTGCTAGATATCACAAAAAGTCAAGCACATCATTGCTATTAAAAATGCCCCCTTGGAATCAATTTAATTTATAGGCTTTTCTTAGTATTTCGGTCTTACGGAATTGGCCAAAAAAGGATAACTTTAAATGGAACAGTGCCCGCAAGAGCTCATCTCTGTATACTGCAGAAGCAAATACAATCTGCATTCTTGTTTGCAAACAGCTTTCTGTTTAAGAAAACAAAAGAATTGATTAAGTAAATGAATGCTTGTTATCTGTATGGTTTGTGTGAATAGTATGGTACTAATATTTATTTGTGCTTAGAAATATCATCATATCTATTTCTTCCAACAGGCTTTTTGTCTGGATTGAATGGCTTAAACAAAAGGGTAGAAAAGATTCAAGAAAGTACTAATAAAATTGTCACCCAACTTAATGAGTCCCTGGTCACACTAAGAGCGTTGCCTAATGGTAAGTGAAATCTACATCGACATTCTCCTCCTTACTACCAACTGGCACAGTACCATCCTAATAAAATCCTGTTTGTAATCTGATGGGAGAGCCTTAGCAATAAACTAGACTGGAGGCTCATTTAGCTTTCTGCCTTGCAAGGAATGTTTTCCATTTATTTAGTAAACCCATTAAATATAACTGGGTTATGATATAAGGCCTGTAGCTTTATTCCCATTTAACACAGCTGTATATCAGGAAAAGTGGTGGAAGGGGTGGAATTACAATAGTATAAGAAGGGAATCAGGTCCTGGAATATTTAATATCCTGTGGAGGGAAATTTTATAATATACAGTGACTTTTTAATTTTATTTTGATAGCTTGTTTCAAACCCATCCATAAATCCTATAATGTGTATCTAAAGTTTTGCTATTTTAAATTCTGACTTAATTTAACTGATTAGAAAATTCTTGTGTTTTTCCAAAACCAAAAATACTCTTTTTTCAAAAATGGCCTGAAGTTCGTGAAAGCTAATACAGTAGATTTCTTCAAAGTTTTAGATAAGAATCTCTGAAATAGTTGGCAAACGTTAATAACATTTTTAAGACCTAGGAACATTCATAATGTCATGGTGCATCAGTTATTGTTGTATTATATATCCAGATTAAAATGCTAGTCTAAAGCTTTAGAATTTCCCATTTTAAACTCTTAGCTCATGCTGAAATGCAACGTTAGTGATAAAAGTTACACAGAATATTAATAGCAGGATGCTGTCAGACATCAAACTACTCACGGAAAATGAAGGCGTCATTAAACTCATAGGACATTCCTCCTTAGTCGGCATAATTGGACTTTAGTTTTGCTGTTATATTTCTTGAGATTGTCTTTATTTTTTGCTCAGTGGTATTTCCCTTTACATAGGGGACTGGAGGTGAGGGAGGATCCCTGAAGAACTAAAATGGGTTCTTGTTTTGAGCCAACTGCAGCATCTGCAGCACCCTGACTTGGCACTGGGGTGCAGGGGCGAGCTGAGGAGGGAAGTGGTTCTTTCTGCAGAAGTGATCGTCACCCCAAGCCAAGCAAAGGGGTTTATAGGCCTGCTGCCTCTCAGCTTTCTATAGGATTCAGGATATGAAGCTCAGACTGTGAGGCTGGATGCCATTCAAGGCGTCTAAAGTTATGAACCTGATGTATTCATAGGATCTTTCTGCTGGGATGCAGAATCAAGTTCCCCATCTGTCCTTATGTCATATTCAGAGCCGGTCAATAGAAAAGCCATATGGTGAAAACACAACAACGACAACAACAAAATCTTATTTTTCCTGGAATTCAAAATTTGATTGATCAAGTCTCTTAACTGAAAGCCTTGAAATATGAAATTGACCACCCTTAATCAAAATGTGTGTGATTTCTGTTATTTATATATGTGCATATATATGTATTTATGTATAGGTGGGTTTTTGTGTGTATGGATGAATACACATACCTATATTTATCTCTGTAATCACATCCGTGCTTATAAAACTAACTTTGGGGAGCATTTCCCCATTCTTCCTCATTTTTTTAATCTGTGCGCTATCACTGTGATTCAGATACAAGGAAATACATGGTCGAGGTGAAAGAGCTGGCTGTGTCCGCAAACGCCAGCGCTGCAGTGAGTCTAAGCCACTTTGGGGATTTCAATGAAAAGCTGCTGAATGCTACGTCTGCGTTGTCCCGAGTTAATGACACGTTGAGGAAAACTAGTGAACTTCTAACTGATTCATCAAAAGCCGGTAAGTTTGCTGCTTCGTTGCTCCGTAGAAATGTCACTGCTTGCAGCAGCATTACTAATGTTCAAGTTTAATAAGCATTAAATATGAGCCTGATGAACTGGAAGTTTCATCCTAATTTGATAAAAATGTGACATATTTTAAAAAGACCTTTATGCAAGTCAAATAGGATACCTTTAAATGTCCATATTCTATACTGATGTTTATAACTACTGAAATAAAGGAGACAAGCCACCCCAGGTAGGAGTGAGCAGGGCTTTTCTTTCAGTCTGTCTCAACCTTTCACTGATGTTTTGGCAGCAACTACAGCTGAAAAAAAGGTTAAAGAGGTCGCAGCACAAGCCAGTCTTTTACTTGATAGGCTGAAACCTCTGAAAATTCTAGAAGAGAACCTGAGCAGGAATCTCTCGGAAATTAAAGAGCTCATCAGCCAGGCACGCAAGCAGGCGGCATCAGTAAGTACCATGATCGTAGCAGGTTCTCGTGGAATGTAACCAGCTTCACTTTGGCTTGCAGCAGAAAATGTCTTTGAGTCAAAGAGCCTAGAACTTCTTTTCAAGGTACCTGGTTGCTCTGCTGTCTTGCTGAGGTCCAAAAGCACTGGCTGATGCTAAAACCACATGCCAGCAGGGCTGCACCTGGTGTGTTTTATCTGCAGGCTTCTTATCACATTTGTGGATTTGTTAGAGCAGCAAGGCAGTAATTTATTTTTTATTGCCTTTTGTTTCCTATAAAAATAATGGAAAACAGTATATCAGACAGCAGTCACGGAGATATTTCAGTGGGAAAGAGCCAAGTGAGTAGACGGAGCTGCCATTCTTTTTAGGGCAGGATGCTAATTTCTAAGCTTATTTTAGAGATTGATGCAAAATGCCTCCCTTCTAACATCAAGCATCATTAAAAACTTTTTTTTAACAGAATGTGGATTCTGTCGATAAATTTGCAAGACATGCCCAAGAAAGTCCATATGCTGTTCTTTATAAGATGCAGCTGTGCATACAAAAAGTTTTGAAACATAGATTATACTTGTAATTTAGCAGATATTCTACCCATTATTAAAGAAGCCTAGAGTGAATCAACTGTACTGTGGGTCTCATTAAACTGTGAGGGCAATATGAAAATGAATTTTCATGCAATAATTTTTGGTATGCCTTTGGCTTCAGTATGGATATATAATTCTAAGGTTGAGAGAAGCACTTTTTTTTAAAAAAAAAGGCATTCGACACTGCCAAAGTCTGCAAATCTCCTTAATTATAAGGTTATTGCTTCCCTGTCACAGTCTACTGAAGCTTAATGAATTCACTGCAGAACAGAGTAGTATTTTCTGATATATCGTAAACCACAGAGGTTCCTGGCAGGGGAAAAATCCCTTCTTCCAGATTTGAGGGTTCATTTTGTTGTTTTGTAAACTTTTTACTTGTTACAGGTGAGGACGTGTATGCATGTATGCTTTATGTATTTAGTTGTCACAAGCATATTCAATTAATTTCATGGCTTTTCTGGGATTCCACTGGGAAGGAATACTACCAAGCTCCTTGGTGTTCAGCTGTTTTTAGCTTACATTCATGTGCTATTAATATACTAGACAAAATTCAAAGGAGTTAGTGGTATCAAAATATAAAAGGAGGTTTTCCACTTAAGTTTAACCTGTGATGTATTCCGAAGTGAATTTTTGAGCAGATATACTCAATAATAAATCAATGGTGTTAAAAATCTGAAATAAACATAAATGTTGCAGACTTTGTTTTGTTTTGTTTTCCTCTGAACATAGACTAGAAACTGTTTCTCTTTTCAGAATGCCTGGAATTTCTAAATCTTTCTTTTCTGATGTTATTGTAACAACTTTTGCTTCGATTCTGTTCCTCTCTTTCCCCCTTCCAGATTAAAGTTGCAGTATCAGCAGACAGAGATTGCATCCGAGCCTACCAACCCCAGATTTCATCTACGAATTATAACACCTTAACCCTCAATGTGAAAACTTCCGAACCCGATAACCTCCTTTTCTACCTTGGGAGCAATGGCAAGGTAAGTTTTCTGGGGGCATACTCTCTTAAGGCGGTAGTAGCCAGATGCTTTAAATGACCATATATATGTTCTCAGCCCTCACAGTCATGGTGTGCCCACCCACGTGAACATGTCACATGGAAATTAAATATGCAAAGAGAAATAACATGTTCAATATCCTGTGTTAAAATAAGAACTACTGTTTTTCAGATGGACTTTCTCGCAGTGGAGATGCGACGTGGTAAGGTCGCTCTTCTTTGGGATTTGGGCTCTGGATCAACAAGAGTGGAATATCCTGATTTCCCAATTGACAACAACAAATGGCACAGAATACATGCAACCAGGTAATTTAAGTTTGAATGGTGGGAATGTCGAAAAGTCCCAAAAGGCATCCACTAGTAGGTTCAATGTAATCTAGGAGTTTGTTCTTTTTTTTAAAAAAACAAAACAAACAAAAAAAAACCCAAGACATCCAGATTATACAAATGTTTTTCAGTTTGTTAAATCAACTTAGCAGAAGTCACATAAATCAGCTTCTGAGTTTTCCAGTCACTGAATGTTTCTTATCCTTGAAAAAATAAGTCAATAGCCTGTGTTGATCAAGCTGGGTGATGTCTAAAACTATTTGTTTATTTGTAATTGGCAGGTTTGGGAAAACAGGTACCCTGAGCATAGAGGAAATGAACTCCAACCAAAAGCCTTCGTCTAAATCGGGAACCTCGCCTGGGACAGCTAGCATACTGGATGTTAACAAATCAAAACTAATGTTTGTCGGAGGACTTGGAGGGCAAATTAAGGTTAAATTCTAAAATCAACATAGTACAAAATGTGTATCTCTTTGAGATACACCTCTGACTTGAAATAACTGCATGAACCAGTTACGCAGTCAAGAAATGCCAGGCACGGTGCATGTAAAGCAAAGCTGCTCAAAGGATATTCCCTAGTTCCTAGTGTTAATTTCCCCAGGGAAGTTTTGCATAGAATGATAACCGGGAGAGACTCTGTGTATGCACGTCGTGCATAGGAGTTGCACACAGAATTGTTTTCCTCCTCGGCTCCTGCTTCCTTTAGTTTGCTGTTGTTACTCATGCAATGAAGAATTTAAACAGGCCGAGGATGTAGATATTTTACTTTCTGCAAAAGTGGTCCACTAAGGTTCAAATGACAATGGTTAACAGTTATGTTAAAGCATGTTGTTTTTCTTTTATTATAATTTATAGCTAACAAAGTTAAAGTTCAAGGAAAGCAGTTGAAGCAAAAATTTGCCTGGATAACTTTCAGAGAATTTAACATTGTATTCATTGTGTCTCCCCAAATAGAAATCGCCTGCTGTGAAGGTCACCCATTTTAAAGGGTGCATGGGGGAGGCATCACTGAATGGCAAATCTATCGGTCTTTGGAACTACTTGGAAAGAGAGGGCAAATGCAATGGATGTTTTGGAAGGTATTTTGTCCTCTCCTTTTTTAACGTAGTTGGAGTAAAGCTGCTTATACCTATGCAGCATATATTTCTGTGTTAGCTCTTAGAAGTGAAGAATTCAGAAAAATTACAGTGCTTCATTGATCATTAATTTACAATTCTGAATGTGCTTACCTGAAGGTGTCAGTGACATCAAATAGTTTCATTGGACAGAATATCACAGCTTATTGTGTAATTTCATGGTTATTTTTATACTTTGTCTACTTGTTAAGTAGATTTCTGGAGTTGTGTCAGTTTTGTTGTACTGCAGTATTTCCAGGAAAACAAAATGTTTTGGATTGTTTGTTTTCCAGTAATTTCCAGAAAGACAGATTTATTTGTTCCTAGGATAAAAAATAGTCTAAACTGTTCTTTAAAAGTTTGTGGTACAATTATAGCTACTGCACTTACTACCGTTCCTAGATTCGTTCTGGAGGGAGGATTGCCGATCATATTGCTTTTCTTATATTTAAGGGATTCAAAAGAAATATGCTTGACTGTAGTCCTTTTTGCAGAATGTTTCACATAGAAACAGCAGAGGGTGCTGCATGATTGTCTGAGCTATCTTTCAGACATGCTAAATTGCAGGGGAAAGGGCTAATAGAACATTTATTATGAATACAATTACGCAAGGCATTTTGATAGATGCATGGCATGTTTTAAGTAAGAGGGTATATTGTAGCAGTTATTTTTTTTCCCTTAAGAAATTGTTGTTTTCCCTTCATATAACATATTCCCTTCATGTAATTTTTCATCTTGTATACATCCTTTCCCATGGCTAAATTGGAAATTGTGAAATTCTGTAATCAAAGTGGCCTTTGGCTGGAATCCTTTCGTTATTCATAACATCAGAATTGAAGCCTCTTTCCATGTTTCCTCGTCATGCTCCTTACAGGCTGCATCAACAGATCCAAGTTTTCTGAGGTTTTTGTATAAAGTGACGAAAACCGCATCAGTCTTCAGTTAACGTTTCAGCTCCGTTTTCCACTCCCACAGCCCACAGGATGAAGACACTTCATTCCATTTTGACGGCAGCGGATACTCGATTGTGGAGAGAACGCTCCGCTCCACAGTGACTCAGATAATCATGTTCTTCAGCACCTTCTCACCTAATGGCCTCCTGCTGTATCTTGCTTCAAATGGCACTGTAAGCAAATGTATCAGATTCTTAAGCTCTCAAAAACTTTGGATCGCATGGTGGGTTTTTTGCTTTCTTCTATGTTATCTTTCAGCAGAACTATGTTAAAAACAGTTTTTTATATAGATTTTCTTCCAAGACTGACATCATCAGCCAGAAGGGTTAAGAAAAGAATCCTAGGCACAATAACACTTTAGAGTAAACATTTGCATATACAGAGGCCGGAATTAAGCAGTGAAAAAAAAATGAATGAATGCAATGAAAAAAATTAAAGTAATGAAAAAAATAAAATTACTGGCTATTCTACTAAGGGTAAGGGCAAGAAACTGCAGGTACAACGGACTAGTTTTGTTCCATTGGAGGAACCTTGGCAGAGCATAAAATCTTTTTGAACTGAACTTGCAGAAGGGCAATATAATACTGAGTGCATATATTGAATTAAAGCCACGAGATGGGAATTCAGTAAACTGAAATAAATTAAATAAAACTCCCAGCAAAAGCAACATAACCTCGGCTGATCTCCAGACCTTCATTGGCATGCAGTCTACCACTTAGTTCACTGGTGGTTTCCTTCTCCTGAAGGAGAGCAAAGCTTTGTTTAGATACAAATTGCTTCAGAGTTACTGCATTATTCATTTGGGTCTTTATGGACTTGTCGACTGAGTGTGCTGCACAATGATATCTGACTTCATTTTTACATGGAGAGGGGCACTTCTAATATAACACAGAGTGTTTTTTATTTCTGTTGATCCAAATGGATGTGAGGAAGCTTTTCACTTCTTGCAAAAAGAACATTGTAATGTTTGATCATTACAGCTAGCAGTAGCTAGCTAGCAGTCACATCTAATTCCTCTCAGTTTTAACTCCTTCCTCCTCTTGCAAGTCAACGTGACTTTTGTTGCTTAAACCTTCCCTAGCTGAGTGAGTGATCAACTCTGATGATGCATTCAAGTAGCAGAGACAAAATAAAACGACATAAAATGTAATTTTTCTGAGTGAGTGATCAACTCTGATGATGCATTCGAGTAGCAGAGACAAAACAAAACAAAACAACATAAAATTTAATTTTTCTGGACATATAAAAGTGTCCTGGGTCTATCAAATAGTCTGGGTACAAGAGTTACTGACCCATTTCCACACAGAAGCTCAAACCTGCAAAGTTTACCTCCTTTTGGAAGATTGCACTTCTTACATTTCGATCTTTTTTTTTTCCTCCTTTTCCTCCCCTGCAGAGAGATTACTTGTCGCTTGAGCTTGTGGATGGCAAAGTGAGAGTGACTGTGGATCTAGGCTCAGGACCCCTTGTCCTTACAACAGAAAACCGTTACAACAATGGAACGTGGTATAAAATTTCATTCAGCCGTAACAAGAAACAAGGTAGGCTAGAGGCTAAAAAAACAGGTGACTGCACGTTTGCAAATGGAAATAACAAAATTCTCCATAGGAAACATCACTGCAACAAAATTTGATCACTTCCGATATGGAATTTCTTGGTTTGATGAGGAATTTACTTGGTTTAGCACATCCTTTTTGTGGTTCTTATGAGGAACAGTTAGGGCAGAAGTAGTCAGATTAATACATCTCAACAGTGATTAAACAGGGAAGATTTTTGTGCAAGTCTGTACATGAGGGATCACCTTTTTGGTTCTTCATTTTTATAGTACCTAGTATAATGGAATTTTGGGACCCATGGTTGGGAAGTAATGCATTACAAATAATAGGTATTAATAGCTATAACATATTCTAGTATGTATATTTTACTGTAGACTTTCACAGATTTGGGTTTGGCAGAAAAGAATGAATCAGATGAACAAAATAGCTGAAAATATGATAAATTATTCATGACAAAAAAAAGATTGTTCACACAAATTTGATTCAATAAATACATTTTCCTTTATTAGAAACAAGACTGCCAAAATGGAAGGCAACATGTTAGTGTCCTTCTCCTGATCTTTACCCTCATTTTTTCGCAGGAATTTTGGCAGTCACTGATGCATACAACCTTAATTATAAGGAAACCAAGCAAGGAGAATCTCCTGGGGTTGCCTCAGACCTGACCCGCTCTGATAAGGACCCAATTTTCATTGGAGGGCTGCCGAGGTCGAGGGCTGTGAGGTAGGTCTGAGGCTGCGGTTGGGATCAGAGGCAGCCTCCTGCTTTTCCCTTCCAAGGAAACCTGCTGCCTGCTCTGTGTTGAGCTGTGGCACTGTGGACTGCTGGCATTCGGTACCCAGCTGTGCTCAGGATAAAACTTCTGCTTCAGAAAAATTCTCATAACTCAGCTTTGAAACTTGGAGCAGAGGAATGTAACAGATCAGCAGAAGCCAGTGTAAATATATAATTCTCTAGTTTATAGCCCCTCTCTTTTGTTGCCCCTCTCTGTTGAACATGTAAATCCACTTATCTACAGTGGCTTTGTTTTGGTGGAAGCAGAAACATGACTGAAACAAAATATAATTAAACTCCCTCCTAACTCCTGGTAATGGGGTGTATTGCAGGACATTATATTGGTCTGCAGAGTTATCACTCGCCGATGCAGATCTGGCAATCTTTGTTGGCATAGCAGCCAGTAAGGAATTGTGGCAAAACAAGACTTTAGATTTCTCTGACTTTTTGTTTTGTTTCAGGAAAGGTCTTAGTAGCAGAATGTATGTGGGATGCATCAAGAATCTGGAAATATCCCGTTCAATATTTGACTTGCTTAGAAATTCATATGGTGTAAGAAAAGGCTGTGTATTGGAGGTAGGAGACCCTTAGATTTTGTCATCTGTTAATTCTCATTATTGAACAATGTATACTAATGTTTATGAAAGAATATAGTGAGTTGGGCTGATCTTGGAAAGTTCTTAGCTAATCTGTCCTTGAAATTATATTTCTTGCTGGGTTCCGTATAAGGACAGTGATTATTTTTCTTCCTCATAAAACAGCCTATTCGTAGTGTGAACATCCTGAGCAATGGATATATTGAGTTGGCACCGAAGTCTCTGAGTCCAGAATCAGAACTGATGGCAACTTTTGCCACAAAGAATGGTAGTGGTATCATCTTAGCTGGACTTAGCAAGGGCCTGGAGAAGCGACAACGCAGACAAGCACATTTGGCAAGTACCAAAACCAAAGACTTTTTGCTTTTGTTTTGTTGTTGTCATTTGCATTTTCAAATGACGAGTCTAACTTATCAGTGTGACCTGGAATGAATGAGAAAGAAAAATCTACTTGGTTAGGGAAAACCAAAGTGCAGGGGCTCAGTAGAGAGCAGAGGACACTCATCATAGCAGAAGGAAGGTAAAGGATCAGTTAGCAGAGAAATATTACAGTTAGTATCACCCAGAATATTTTGGGAACAAGAAAGAAAACTGCTCATGAAATGCACCTGGGGTATTGCTTTTGCCCTTCAGTAATCAGAAATAGTTCTTCAAGGTTTTGAGGAAAACAGCTCTCTGGTTGGCTGTTGTAGAGCTCTTGTAGTCCAAGACCAAACACTTAGTAGTGTTAGCTAGACATGGCCCATCTTAACTTCCTTCTTGTAGGAAGATTAAGAAAACCTACATTTTTATCTGAGTTTTAATCGTGACTAGACAAAATTTTCATCTTTCACATCTTTGGAAGGCTTAGCTCTCTCAGGGTTACCAATACATGTCCACTAGTCTTGGAGTTTCCTTAACAAGTTTGTTTACAACAAAGCTGGAGATAAATCTGTTTGATTTAAGCAATGAATGAGTGAAATGAAGTTGAGTTGCAGTTAAAAATTAATCTTCTGATAAAATCCACAGCCCTTCTTTTCCATCATGCTGATTGATGGTCACCTCACAGTGCATGTAAATGCTGGAGATAGAGCAAGTACCAGAAAAGTGGTGCTTCGGTCTCCTAATGGAACATACAGTGATGGACAAGAACACTCTGTGATCCTAATCCGGAATAAGAGGTACCTGTGACTACTTGCTTAATTATTGTATTTTGTTGTCACTTCACTGTGCTCTCTGAGAAACTGTCATTGCTAGTTCGTTAGATGAAATAATCAAGACTGTGATTTTCTACTGTTGATGGAGGTGTTCTGATTTACATGGTAATGGCATACAGCACACAGCCACTGATGAAGTCGTATTTAAAAGCTCTCTTGAAATCTCTAGGCAGTTTGAGCCACTTGAGTACAGCATACTAAACACTGTTAGAAAAAATACAGGTATAAAAGTAGTTTCACAGAATCACAGAATGGTTGAGGTGGGAAGGGACCTCTAGAGATCATCTAGTCCAATCCCCCCTGCTCAAGTAGGGACACCTGGAGCACATGGCACAGGATGGCATCCAGGCCATCTTTGAAGATCTCCACAACCTCTCTGGGCAGCCTGTTCCAGGGCTCTGTCACCCTCACATTAAAGAAGTTCTTCCTCATATGGAGATGAAACCTCCTGTGTTTCAATTTGTACTTGTCCTGCTGCTGGCCACTATCAAGAAGAGTAAAGATATTCAAAATATCTAAAGAAGGCTTTTCAGTTTTAAGAAGATGAAAAGATCATCAAAGTCATGGCATTTCCAAGACTGAATTTTGTTTTTTCTTTGAAAATAAATGTCTGAGACACTTGTTGAATGTTTTTCTACTTTCTCTTTTCAGGATCATAACGGTACAGGTGGATGAAAGTAACCCTGCAGAGCTGAAACTTAGTTCATCAGCAGAAATGATCCCCCTGAATATTTCCAATTTCTACGCTGGTGGCGTTCCAGCAGGAGAGGGCATCTTCGGGCTAAAAATGACTGGTTCCTTTCATGGTTGTATCAGCAATCTCATTTTTAACAAGGAGTAAGTCAGAATATCAGCCCTGTTTAGTATATGCAGGAAAGCTACATATAGTCATTATTAATTGTAGTGATCTATTTTATGACATTGTCCATTTATCTTTAAAATAAGGCAAGAATGATACTGATGATCTACTGGGTATTTACTGGGTAAAATGGATATTGAATATTGCCAGTTACATTTCCATATAGCATTAGAAATGTCTGTACAGAAACAGAATAGAGACGCTACACATGAATAGAGACATTATGTCTTATCATTTCATTTGCATACACAGGTGCAATAATTTTCCTGGAATATTGTCTGTGAATATTACTCTCATAGAGAGATTTATATATCATTTTTCAATCTTTTCCTTCCACTGTCCCAATTCTTTCCTTGTCTTCTGCTATTAGTGAAAGAACTTGTAAAATACTCTCCCCATGTTAGCAAAATGTAAGGATTTGGGATTTCACCTCTTAAAATGTAGGTTTTTTAAATGCAGACTTTTGGATTTCACCACTTCCATGAAGTATGAACATGTGGATATGGACAGCTGCTTTCTGTCAGGGAAGCCTAGACCAGCCTTACAGCCAGAAGACGTGGAGATTCGACCTGAACTTCAGGCTTTGCCAGTTCCCCAGAGGCCTCTTACAGATACAAAAAAAGTATGTATTAAAGCAGAACTCTGTTGCCTTTTTTAGGAAAGCACTGAGGAGAACTAGATGCATTTTAGCTGTGTAGAGATTTTTTGAAACAAGGATTATATATGTTTGTTTCTTCTATTGTATGGAAGGAGTCAGCAAATGTGAATTTGAAGTGATAGTTCCTTACAGAAACACTGGCATATAAACCTGTCTAGCAGCCAGCTGACCTTCTGGAAAGGAAATGTCATAAGGTTTACTGTTGTTCAGCCAGCAACACTAAAAAGAGAAAACGAAAGAAAAAGAGGAGTAGAGTAATCATCCTCCGGCAGAGTGACTTGACGGTATTTACTATCTTGGGTGTGTTCCCTGCTAGTGTGGTTGCACACTGGGATTTGCATTAGCTGTGCAGTTCAACTGTTGCATTTCCTGGTCACAGATGTGCAGTGTCAAGGAGGAGGCAGAAGCCACGGCAGAGGTGTTTCTGAGTGTGTTTTGCATGGCACCTGTTTCCTCTCACATATTCGTCTTCCCAAGAGTGAATGCTGCATCACTTCTCTCCCTCTGCAGCTGCACGTCTTTTTGATCAAGTGTTTCAAAGCATCTTGTAATCATTTTTCTGTGGCAACAGAATGCAGGCGTTTCTTACCACTTTAGCTATGAAAAGAAATAAGGTGTCTTTCTTATAGCTAAAGTATAGCTTTGAGTTATACTTTGTTACACAGCCCTTTATCCCCTAAATCATAACAAAAATGTGCGTACTCACTAAAGGACTCACTCAGTCCTCAGATTTTCACACTAAAATTATATTTTGTCTTCTCACATTTTCTACCAAAAGGGCTATCAGTTAAGAGAAATGATGAATGGCTGTGTTTCAAGCTAAATGTTTCTCAATAGGAAAGACCTGTGCTGTCAGTGAGACATAGCTTAATCATTGTAACTCATTCACTTTGAGCCTAATAATAGCTCAAAATGTTTGGGAGTTTAGCTAATTGATGTTACTGTATACTTTGTGGTTATCAAGTGGCTCAGTTTGGCTTCTTACAAAATTCAACAAAGAGATGTTGCTGCTCATCACTACTACTCGGTACCAACACATTTGATGCCTCCTTATACCTTTTCAATAAAGTCCTTTCATTAATAGGTTGTTTGTTCAAAAGATGAGATACCCGATCATGTTCAAGGTGCCCATCAGTTTGGACTTGCCAGAGGCAGTCACTTAACACTGCTCTTCAATCAGTCTACTGTAAGGAAGAAGTGAGTATATCCAGAATCACACATACATCAGGCATCCAGAAATGTCCCTTTTTCATTTTAGCACTTATGTTGCAACCATTGGGCAAAATGGCATTGCAGAGGATTGATGCTTTGCTGTCCTAATCTTGTGCACCCCCCTGTGAAATGGCTCCTCTGTGAAGAGCTAGCCTAGAAACAGCTCCTTTATCCATAAGCCTCTGTTCTCAGTCTGCCCACTGTATTCCAGCAAGCCTGGCTGATAGTGCTGGTTGTCACCGCATCAGCCTGAAAGTCACTGCCATCAGCAGGGCTGCAGCCACAAACAGCTGACCCCTTACAGCCCCGCTCACTAAAGCACATCTTGAGTCTCTGGCTGGCACCAACCCGATTTCTACTATGAAATATCTTAGAGGTGGTGCTTATGCAAAATCAATGCAAATTTTACTTTTCTGGACAGTATTTCACATTATAAGAATAAGTTGTTTGAGGCTTTTCTCTGCCTCCAGAGAAGCTTTTTAGGGATACAGGAAAAATTACCCCTTGATAACATCGTACTTTTTTGTCTAGACTTTCAGTCCAGCTGAATATCAGAACATTTGCCTCCAGTGGCCTGATTTACTACATGGCTCACCAGAACCAGGTTGATTATGCAGCCTTACAGCTTCACGGAGGACAGCTCTATTTTTCATTTGATCTAGGCAAAGGAAAAGCAGTAGCTTTTCATCCTGCTGTTATCAGTGATGGAAAATGGCATACGGTAGGTACTCACCAATCTTGTACTACTATTTTCTCTTCCCTGGAGTTGCTGGGTTATGATCATGTCATGAAACCATTCAGATGACTTCAGTAAACTTAGAATCATAGAATGCTTAAGGTTGGAAGGGACCTCTAGAGGTCATCTAGTCCAACCCCCCTGCACACACAGGGTCACCTAGAGCACGTGGCACAGGACTGCGTCCAACTTAGCTCCTTTTCTTTTCAATTCTAATTAATTATGCAATGACTCCAGCATCTAGCTACTGTATTTCAAGTTATTTAGAAATGAAATAGTTCACCAGCTATAGCAGTCATCCTCACCAGCTACAGATTTTGGGTATCAAGTACTATTTGTGGCCTTCACCTGAGCTCCCCAGCTCTGCTGACTCTTGCTTCCTAGGTGAGAAATGTGTATAGTGTCTGCTTACGTTTTAAAAGCAGTTCTTGCCACATAAATTTTTCTTTGGGGCAGGTGAGGATGACAATGTTCATCCTGTTAAGATTCCTTTAACTCTTCCACATGTGGAGCCTTAACCTCAGGAAGTGACTTTGTGGCACAAGGTGGCTGACCTCTCCTAGATGACCCAGAAATCATCAATGTTATTTTTGCCTTCCTAATATAACCGGCAGAATAAAAAGAAGGAAAACATAGAGGAAGCAAATGTGGATTTATCTGTGATATCTCTCTCTGACATGAGCTCTGCTGCCTGCTCTGAAGCGAAGAACACTCCAGAATTACAGTTGCTTGTTTAAATTTAAACGTACTCTCATAAAAGTTTGTTCTCGCACTATCAACCTTTCAAGAGATGAACCAGTGATCTACTTTTGTTACACATGGCAGAAAAATATGAGCTTTAACCTTTTTTTTTCTAAAATTAAGGCTGTCACACTACTTCACCAGAGCTGAGGATGATTATTGCAATAACTTTATGATCAATTTAAGATGATATGTGTTGTTGCCAAAAGAAGCTCTTTTTCTTTCCCTTCTCAGCCATATGCTTGTAACACCCTACTGAACTGCTTTCTCCCTTTACCAGTCCAAGTGTTCAAGAAGCCTCTTATTGAACCCAGTCAGGATTCTGTTTGGATTTAAAGAATACCTGGTTAGTCAAATCAGTTCCCTCACCTCCATGTGAACACTTGTTCTAGTTTTGAGAAAGCACAGGGGCATAAATGAACAAGGGCAGACTAGGTTGATAATATTTTAGTTACAAATTCAGCACTGCCTGCAATAAAATTTCACCTAGGAGCATGCACTTCAGAGGACTAAGGTAGCTGCACCAGTGGACAGCACAATATTTCAAAGATCAATTTAGCCACGTACTCAAATCCTTAGGCAATAAAATGGTGGTTTTAAATAATCGTTAAGACCTTGAAACGCTTATGCAGGACAACAGGCAATCATCGTAGGCCCTTGGGGAGCCAAAAAAAAAACAATTTAGCTACTCATTTGCACTCTGAAATGGCCTCATTTTCAGAGCAAATTTCAAGATGCTGCCCCGGTACAGTACGTCAAAGCAGTCTAACATTTAAAATCATCTCGCTCACTTCTGTGGTAAGTGATGACTCACTAAGTGACTCAACATACTGTTTACATACCTCTACGTTTTTCCAGGTAAAGACAGAATATGTTAAAAGAAAAGGTATAATCATCGTGGATGGGAAGGACTTGATAGCTGTCAATGTTCTGGGTGATGGTAGCACTTTGGATGTGGAGGGAAAGCTGTACGTGGGAGGACTCCCCTTGGACTACGTGCCAAAGAGTCTCGGGAATGTAAGAACTTTTTTTTTTTTCCCCCTCTCTCTGTTATTTTGCAATATTAGCATGGATATACTGCATCAAACCCATCTAGTCCTGTATCCTCTCTGTTAAGAGCAAAACTCAAGTACTTAGGAAAAAAATAAAAAAGAAAATAATGACCCTTCGCCAAATATATCTTTCCAGCATTCAATGGTTTAATGACTCTTTGAGCTAGAGCTTGTCTCCTTGTTGACAGCAGGCCTTGATAGATTTTTATTCTGTCAATCCCTTGTTAAAAAGGGATAAAGTTTATAAATTCCCATGCTTCAAATATAAGATAAAAATATGATGTAGATCCTCATAGACATTTTGGTACATAAAACCTATTGGATCCAATTTGGTACATAAAACCAGCTGGATATTGGAACTTGATGCCTTAAATAAAAGGCTGGGTTTAAGTGTCTGATATTAAAGCATACTTCCTACAAATGCACATTTAGAAGACAGGTTTTGTCACCTTGCTCCTTGTTCAGCCTGTTATCTTAGAGAGGATGCTGGCATTGATAGAGGTGTTTTCAAATCCTGTTTGTGCTCTTCACCCTTGCTTTTTGCATAACTGGGTTTTAATACTTTGAATTTGTAGTTATCGAAAATAGTGAGAAGTGAATCTCATCACTGTATAAAACTCTGGTGATCCAGACTTGCAATGTATCTTAGAAAAATATTCCTTTGCTTTTTTTGTTAATTTATTGAAGCATTGGTATTGAGCATCAATATTGGGCATCTCCCAACTCTCCTTCAAACACATAATATACTTTCTAAGAGTGCTTATAATGCAAAGCTGTCTGTGGCAAAGTAGTTAGCTCTGTACATTATAGAGTATATACTGTGTATAGAGTATATACTGTTTCTACATAATATTTATTTTGACTCTCTAAGGCATTGTATACATTTGTAAACTTAAATAAGCAAAGAATCTATTTCTATAAATAGAAATGCAATTAAGTAAATATTTTAGGTACTGCTTTGTTCTGTTCAGAGAAGTTTTAATTTACAGTGACATTGGATGAATCACTGAGAGAAACTACCAGCAGTTTGTACTGTGCATTAACTCTTCTATTTTCACATGCTTAGGTGACTCACAGTATTCCTGCCTGCATCGGCAGCATGACAATTAACAACAAGCAACTGGACAAGGAGAGCCCTGTTTCTATCTTTGCAGTGAAAAAATGCTATGAGACAGTGCAGGAAGGCACTTTCTTTGATGGGAGTGGCTTTGCTGCCCTTGGTAAGTGCCATTAAATAAAAGCTGTGCCTTTCTGGATTATTGGTTAGGTCTTGTTGGAACTGTATGTAATTAACTGACCACTCAGCAACTGTGTGACTTGCTCTCTGATTCCCTTCATAACCTGTGCCCAAAAGTGGCCATTTCCACAAAGGGCTATTTGCCACAGATGAAAGATGTAGCGATTCTAGCCGTGGGGAAGGGAATGATAGCACCTTCTTTGTATTCACCAGCTGAAGACAGCCATGTCTGTCTGTGACAACAAGTTGAAGTCTATGTAGGGGCATGGAGGCAGTAGACATAACGGAATTACGAAATAACATGAAAGATTACAGAAATTTGTTCTCTTTACCATTTCTGCAACAAATAAGCTTCAGTGTATTAAATCTAAACAAATGAAGGAAAACTTTGAGAATTTACACACACACACACACACATGCATACAATATGTAAATTTTAACTTTGGACAATTTAGGAATGATTTTCCAGAGATGCAGCAAGATCCTATCCCAGCAGGGATTACTGAATTACTTTTTAGGCCCTTTAATGACTACTCGTGCATTTTGCTCTCTAGTTCGAGTTACAAATCTTCCGTTAAAAGCTTGTAACTTCTCTCAGTCAAAGAAGGTTACAAAGTGCGGTCTGATGTGAACATCACACTCGAGTTTCGTACCACCGCGGCGCATGGCGTTCTCCTGGGGATCAGCAGTGCCAAAGTTGATGCTGTGGGACTGGAAATTGTCAATGGCAAGGTAGGCCATACACATGTCACGGGTTTGCTTAAAATAGGGCTCTCGGAGCTGCTGGTAGCACTAATCGTCCATCAGTAAAACATAATGCGGGCAAAATGGCAGGACCCAGTGCCCATTAAAGTAGTATGGGATAGACTTTTAGTCTTAAATTTCCTCCTCATCATTGCATGTAAAAATGTGAGAGTGGCATAAATCACTGGAAATTTTTGCCTTTTTAGTTGATGTTATTCATGTTAACTGCAGCCATTCTGACCTCCTTTGCTTTATTTTTGATGCTGCACTACATCTCTTCTGTGTTAGACTAAATATATTCCTTTTTTGTAGTATAATACCTTTTTGCTGTAAAGCTAAATTTACCCTTGTCAAGTGCATTACTGCATGTACAAACCTGTCTCTTCTGTAATCTCTTCTTCAATATTCGTGGGCAATACCCATGGTAATTAACTCTCAACTTCTACTAGCCATTATGTTTCATAAACCAACACCTTTTATCAATCAGTGCAAAGGTCAGCACTCATTTCCTGCACAAAAATGTACATTTGATTGCTCTTAAGTGGTTCCTTTTCTCAGAAATAACTCATTTTTTATTCAAAGCTTCCTAGCTAGAGACTTATTATCACTCTGGGGGATGCACTTTCTCTGTTGATGTTTACACAGAGTTGAGGAAATGTCTACTACTTTGAAAAATTAAATGCATAAATAAATCAATACAAATGTTGGCAATTTTAAGTGCTTTCAGTCTCTTTGTCTTCAGCTAGATGCTATAGATCTTTCAAATCTTCTTTTTCTCAGAGAAGCTGAGACTTGACTTGATTTATATGTGTAAGAAATGTTTAGTCTCATGTAGATTATACTAAGCTAACCAATGGCATCAGTGCATGGTTAGATATAAATCTTGTAGATTTTAAAGATATTTCAGTAAGGACTCGCAGTCAGTCTGTCAAAGCAAACATTAGCTTTGCATAATTACCAAACATTTATTAAAACGGAAATTTCTGCAGTAGCATGATTGTGCTTTTATCTAGATGAATTAGTTCATGTATTCTTAACTTTGTATCTTTATTGGCATCTGACCGTTTATACAGGTTTTATTCCATGTTAACAATGGAGCTGGCAGAATAACAGCCACATACGAACCACGAGTTGCAAATAGCTTGTGTGATGGAAAATGGCACAAGCTTCAAGCAAACAAAAGCAAACATCATATTGCACTGATAATTGATGGCAATTTTGTTCAAATTGATAATCCCTTCATCCAGTCAACATCTGCAGATACAAACAATCCCATTTATGTTGGAGGCTATCCTGGTAGGTACAATAATATTTCTCTTTCCTTCTCTCTCTCTCTTTCATAAGAATGAGTCATGACTGTCTCAAAAAATGAGTCATGAAAGCTCATGATTGTAAATCACAGTATCTGTTTTCCATGTTGTCACTGAGATCATAGCCTATTAGTATTTCTGTGTATCTTTGAGGAGGAATGCATGTAGCTGTTGATGAGTGTCAGAGAGACCAACTGAATTCATTTCACTTCCCTACTCAAAGCTGCTCCTTGGCTTTTGAAAGGATTTCCTCCATATGCTTTCCTTTTCAGTCTGTCTTAGGCTCCCCAGAATCTTTGTCTGTGTGCTTTGTGTGGTTGTTTTGCATTCAAATTCATATTAAGTTTTTTCTTTACATTCGTCTATGTAGGGTTTCTACCATGTTCTTCTCCACTAATGGTGTGTGTTGGGGCTGTGCTGGCAAAAGTCAGGCTGTGGCAGGTGTACATATATTTCCTTGCTCTCTGCAAGTTACTTTATGAAGTAACTGTCATCATAATATGATGATAATATAAAAGATGGCAATATAAAAATATTTAATAATTATTTTTAAATTGTGTGGCTCATCATTTGATAATTTGAACCAAGACTATTCATTAAGAAGACTGGATTTTTTACACAATGAGCTTGGTATTTTTGTAAGCAAACACTAAAATACTTATGTATAGCTTTTTCAAGACCACATCAGTTTTGAGTATCTCCATGCTTTTAAATGTAGCATCAAATGTGCTTATAAATTTGTCTCTGAAATAGCTGTTACAGTTTATGAGCTCCAATACTTCCATTTGTGTGTAAAGTTCAGGGTGATGCGGTCTAGAGGGCAAGCTTGGCTTTTAAACATTTGGAAAGCTTTGGGGATAATGGCTTGAAATGTTACAGAACCTTCTCTTGGACAAGGTTTTGGTGCATTAGGAAGATTGAATTAATGCTAATTAAACAGATCTTGATTTTTTTTTCTAGAATCCCCATGAGATCTTATCAGCATCATGTAGACTTTTTTTTAAAAAAGTAGGGTAACATAATACTAATCATTGATCTTTCAGTACTCTGTGTTGCAAAAGTTAGAGATCACAGAGAAGAGCAAAATTCTTTAGTTCAGCTGAATGTTGCAGAAAGTGTAGAGTATATTTGTATCCAACAAGGGTTGGAGTCAGTACCAGCTCCATATTTTGGTTTGTCAAGGGAGTCCATGACTTTGCAAGGCTCAGCTGTTGCTTCATATTTTGCCAGTCCCAGTTTTTACAGGGGAGACACCTGCGCAGAGTGGCTTCCCCCACTTCCCTTTCCTCATATTATCCCCTGAGGCAAATTATTTCCAGAACCTCTGAGTAAATTAACCCTTAATCTAGCCCAGTGCATGACTCATGCCTGAAGGCAGCAATGAGTTCTCTTGGTGGGAGTGTGCCTAGGTCAGCCAAACACAAATCGAAGATGGTGCTTTATTTTTAGACATTATTTTTACATCTCTGTTGGGAGGAAGGGGAAGAGGCTAAAGAATAACACAGGTCTTTGTATTGTTTCAGTTCACTGGGAATAGATCCTACCTATTTCATACTTGTTTTACAGATGATGTGAAGCAAAACTGCCTGACAAGCAAGAGCTCATTCCACGGCTGCTTGAGGAACCTCATGTTGACCAAGGGCCAACAGGCAGAGTTGTTTGACTTCAGCAGAGCTTTTGATCTGCGTGGAGTCTTTCCTCATTCCTGCCCCGGGGCTGAGCACTGAAACGTAGCAAAGCCTTTCCGGACTGAGAGAAGTTTTTTTTGTTGTTGATTTGTTATTTTTCACTCTCATTTGTTAATGAAGTTTTTGGTGAGAGTTTGCATCTCTCAAGATTTTCTGATTTTCTGGTTGTTTTCCAACTCAGGTCTTTTTTTTTTTTTTTTTGTCAAAAGCTCTATGTTTGCATTTGAACTAAAAATTTTAAACAACAAATACCTCTAATACAATGTTAATAGCATGAATTGGGTATTTTTCTTTTGGGAATTCTTATTAATGAGTGTTTACAGTATGTGTTTCCTTGTTTAGTTGACAGTATTTCATTTTATTATATGTTGGTCTTTTTATAAGAAGGTAATCATTTTGGACCACATAATAAAACTGCAATAAACTGCGTAATTTTGTGTATAGTAATTTGTACATTTAAATTAGAAAAGAGCCAGAAGGTAGTAAGTAGAAAACGGAAGTGGGTAGAGCCCAGTAGAGGGAGCAGGAGACTAACAGCATAATTTTGAAGGTATCAGATTCAGAGTTCAATGAACAGAATTTTCCCACTTTTACTTCATATGATAACTCTGATCGTTTTCCTACGGCTTAATACCCAGTGCTCCTGGCCCCCACTAGAGGCCCGTGTGCCTCTAATACTTTCTGAAGAGCCACAGGACAAGCCGCAATTCCACAGCAGAGAGGTGAAATGCTGTTTTGATGAAGAAACAATTTGGGTATGAATTATGACCATTAAGAACTAATACATCTAATTTTCTTGGGAAAACAGTATTGCTTATAAGGATAGAGAAGTATCATTG